TTGTGTCATTGAATGTGTCTCTGAAATACGATTCTTTCAAATTTGAAGTATGGATTTAAAAGAGAGTTTGGAGGTTGGAGCTCGATTCTGAATCTAAACAAAAACTGATCATGATATGCTGAATAATTTGCCCTTAGTGCAAAGTGGAGTATGTTGAGTGTGTCTTAGAGATGCGAATTTTTGAAGGTCTTTGTAGGGAGTAATAGTATATTCGAATTAGTATATTAATAAAAATTTATCATTATAAGCTGACTGATTAGTTCTAGGTGTAAAGTGGTAAATGTTAAGGATACCTTTGATAGTATTTTTGCTGATATTATTTTAAATTCGATTCATGGTTTCTGCAGAGAGTAAAAGATTTTGAACTCAACTTTGAATCAGAGAAAAAATTTATCATGATATGCTGAATGATTTGTCTAACCGGCATAGTGATTTATGTCAAGAGTTGTTTTTAAATGTAATTCTTTGAAAGATCGGATCTTGGTTTCAGTAGAGAGTAAAAGATTTTGAACTCAACTTTGAATCAGAGAAAAAACTGATCACGATATACTGAATGATTTGTCTAATGTGCATAGTGATTTATGTTAAGCGTGGTTTTTAAATGCAGTTCTTTGAAAGCTCGGATCTTGGTTTCAGTAGAGAGTAAAAGATATTGAACTCAACTTTGAATCAGAGAAAAAACTGATCATGATATGCTGAATGATTTGTCTAATGTGCATAGTGATTTATGTCAAGCGTGGTTTTTAAATGCAGTTCTTTGAAAGCTCGGATCTTGGTTTCAGTAGAGAGTAAAAGATATTGAACTCAACTTTGAATCAGAGAAGAAAATGATCATGATATGCTGAATGATTTGTCTAATGTGCATAGTGGTTTATGTTAAGCGTGGTTTTTAAATGCAATTCTTTGAAAGCTCAGATCAAGGTTTCAGAGAGTAAAAGATTATGAGCAAGATTTTGAACCTTGATAAAAATTACTCGTGTATAACACGTTGATTGATTTTTACTATGTATTTCAACTCAATGTGTTACATCGTATAGACGTTCTTTAATTTGAACAAATTCTTAGAAAGATTTGGAATCTGTCAAACTATCATTATAAGGAAATGATGCAAACTAATTTCTGTATCCGCTAACATCACCTTTTTCATGAAGTTTTAAAATGTCTTCGTAAATAAACATCATATAAATGAACTATTTAAACTTTTGAAAACATTTAATAACAATACATTTTAATTTGCCATGGTTGTAAAAGTTCATAAATTTTAAATTAGTAATTAATATATATTGAAACATGCACTTGCTTAATACTTAATTAAATAATACACAATTTGGAAATTAAAGTTTTTATTTAATTTACTGCACATAAGTTTTATATTTAATTATTTAATCTAAATTTCTTTATTTAATTATTAATAGTAGTAATTAATAACACGTAAAATTTAACTCATAGCATCATTATCATTGCAAAATTTAATCATAGCATCTTTATAAGAACGTCTCAATTAAAATCTCATAGTTAAAATTCCCACTTGTATTAATTTACTATTTGTGAATAATAATTGATATGGGTAAAAAAAAGTGAGAAATTTTTTTGCATTTAAAAGGGGGAAAAATAGCAATAAAAAAATTTTACAAAGTCTATCTTTCCTAATTACTTGAAAATTAAGTATTTTAATTAATTATAACCTTTAATGGAGATTGTGGATACTACAATAATCAGTAGAAAAGATAATTAATGGAGATATTGCTGTTGATTTAAGTAGAAATGTTTTAATGAGCATTCATATTTTATTCGACTTGAGAATCTCTTTCCTTATTAGAAGGCCAATATAGTCTTAAGAGCTTTATCTGTTATTCTTTGAACAATTATTTTAAATATGTAAACCAATATCTCCACAAATACTTACAAACAAGTAATTTTTAAAGCCAATTCCGACTTAGATCAGCAAAAAAAATTTCCTTTTAGTTACTTTTTATTAAATAATTACACGCTTCACTACTGACGGTATTTATTTCTAAATTTATATCCTGCTATATTTGTTATATAAGAGAATTTTTTTTTTCCCATATAAAACTCAAATTAATGAATTAATATTTGAAAACTTTGCATTAACGGCCACTGAAAGTTTAAAAAAATGCGTTAGAACTCGAGTGGATGAATAAAAAGTATTTTATGAACGATTAAAAATTTGAACAAGATATAGAAATATATAGAGAGAAAAAATTGATTGAATAATTTTAACGTAAAATTTAATATAGCTGAAAGAGTTGATAGAAATAAACCTATCCACTAATTCTCGTTTTAACATCATTATTCGTGATTCTTCTGTTAGCAGCGATTACAAATGTTTACTAATGTAAATGTTACAAATGTTATATTTACAAATATTGTAGTATACTTGATATAACAGTTGCTTTTTTATTTATTTCCAAGTATGCTGGTTCATCACTCTTCGTAAGGGAGATTGTCAGTTCAAAACAGAATGGTTTTTTTCTCCCTTCATTTATTGGACATTTTGTTAAAATGTAGTTGTTTGATGATCTTTAAAGGGTGTTCTAAATGTGAGATCATTAGTCTTTAAATCAATGTATTATTATTCCAATGTTGTATATGTATAATTTATAAAACGAAAGAAAGTTAAATTTTGTTAATCTTTCAGTAATTAAATTTTAATGTATGAAGATACAAACTTAATTAGGCTGATTAACTTGTGCAGATGATATTTTAAGTTACGAAATTGAACACGTTCCCTTTCTGTAAACATGCATTTTTCTGGGCTGGGATAGCCTGGTTGGTAGGGAACTGGGCCCATGTCCAAATGGTCGTGGGTTCGATCCCTGCCGGCCGAAGACTTCCCGTGTAGTAAATGGTGACTGATGCACGTTAAATCTGTCGAGTCTCAAAGTCCTCCATGTTCCCATAACAAATCAATACCTCTTGGGGTACTGAATTTGAGATTTATCGTTCTCTGATTCAGGTCAAAATTACGATCGGTGGAAGAATGAATGTATGCATCAGTGGGTCTACCCTATTAACGGGCGTGACGTATTGATGTGGCAGAAGTCTAATTCTTGACCATAGATGGCGCCACTGGAAAACAAGAACAATCGCCCATCTGCCTTAATGGCATACGTCAACAACGACAACACGCATTTCTCTTTACAAAAAAAATGGTTTCTCTATAATAAACATACACTTTTCTAGTTGAATATAGATTCTTGACCTAAAAGCATGAAGAGACTAGTCGTAATCTGTAAAAAGGTCCCAATAGTTTAGTATTGAAAGCAATCTAAAGTTTACTACAAGATATTTTTCACACAAGTGTTAACACACATAAACAAGTCCCGCACTAACACTCGTTACTCAAAATAATCCTTACAAAAAATGAATTCTAATAATTGTTTAAAAAATAATAACTGCTTCTCAAACAATTTTAGAAATATAGTGAAATGCTCAAAAATGCGAAAAATTAATATTAAAAGGGGTAAGCTTTCGACCATTCTACTGGACTAAACAATTTATTCAAATTTAAGTTCGTGAAAATGTGTTCATTAGATTAATTAGACTAGTTGCGTTTTTTATTTAGCGCAAAGTATGTAGCTCATCTGAAATATCGATTAATGCATAGTGAATAGTACCCATTTACTTCCTGCCCTGTTTTGCACACAGCTGCTCGGTTCATTACAAAAACCAATATAAAACTCAATTAGTACAAACATAATTTGAATTTAACGAACTATTCTTAAATTTCTTAAAAACTATTCTTACTGAAGCTGACAACAAGAAAAATATTTACCTGTTCGCGGTCTAAGTTCACCTCTCCTTCAGTTTAAAAATTGCATATATATTTAAAAAAAATCAAGAGAAAGAATATGAGATTCGTCACCCGTCTTGCCATGAATTACACTAAGAGTTGAGCTTTAAGGCTATAGCTATTTTATTTTATGATTGGCGTTGACAAATAATCCTGTTAACCGGAAGGACACAAGGTTATTTGTCAGCGTTACATGTTTCAGATAAAAAATTATTCGATAAACAGAATTTAACTTTTGAAAGAACAAACCTCATAAAAATGCTTTCAGCAACTTAGTTCTTTCTTAGGTGATAGGCAGAGGATTCCTCTGTTTGATAGTGAACCTTTATGTGTGTTAAATTAAACTTAAATTTCCTGAAACAAAAGAAATCTCAGACAAAGCTTTAATTCATATTAGTCAAATTCAATTACTCCAAGTATAAAGAATAAGATTTTTGCTATATTTTAATAGATCAATAGACTGGAATATATTCTTTTTGATAATAGTAATTTGTGTTTAAACTTCGATCGAAAAACCGATTTTTTTTTAGCTATTTTTTCAGCAAAAAAATAGACTTCGAATAACCTTTGATTTAAATGTTTGGTTATTGAAGAATCTAAATCAAAGTTCCACAGTTTAAATAACTTCAGGTATTTTGAATAATTAAATTACAAAATGGGTAAGTGCTTTCTACGCACCTGATGCAAATTATTTTATAAAAGTTTACCACTAAAGTTACTGCTATGACAAACATAAAAATTAAAAACTACTTGAAAAAATGCAAACTGAGATGATGACAGGTTCATACATTGAAATTAAGCTGCATTTTTTAAGAAATACTTTTAGAACAGATATACTTAATACTGAGAATTATTTATTTTCAAATCTTTATGTTCAGCTCAATTCATGTCTCAGGATGCACTTATGTGTGTGAAGTTTCAGAAAATATTTTAATCTTATTGTTTACGTTCTTCAACAAAATGAAAATTCAGTACAAACTTTAAGCTTTCAATATTTCAGTATTTTGCCGTAACACAAAAAATAAACACGAATGTTTGCTTCCTAATTTTTAAACATTTTATCTCCTAATTTTATAAATTCTGAACTGGAGGACAAGTTTAACGTTTATCATTGACCCACAACTTGTACTAGAATTATGAAACTAAATAAATGTGGAACTAGCAGGAAAATCAACAACATATTGAATAACAGGAATAGAAACATTTTTATTCACAAGAAGGTAGAAGAATTCTTTCCAATCAGACAATACAAAAGGTAGGACAACATTTAAGATACACATTTAGCAAGAATTTGTTCATGGTCCTGCCATGGATATTCTTGATGAATATGAAAGACTTGACATCCGCAGGAACATTTCTGATATTTCTCATCACTTGTAAGAGGTCATTCCGGAAGTTGAGGCTGAAGCGTGGTATGCAGTCACATTGGCACCAGCTGTTTTAATTTTACAATAGAATAAGTGTGATATTTTACAACTCTATGAATAATGCAAATTTTTGATATTCATCTGAAAGAAAAGATGCAGCGAAACTTGTACACCAATTTCAAACTGCTTAGAATTTTTCATAGAAAAATACATTTTATTACAATCAATACATATCTTCTCGGAATATTTAATTGCATAAATATATTTCGTTATTCAAGTTTTAAAGAATTTAAAAGTGGAACAATTTATTCATAAACTTCGTTAACAAAATTATATAACATGCTTAGCATTGCAAGAATATGCAGGAAAAACAATCCAGCAAGATCTGCGTGGCTAAAAAAGAGATTTTTAGATTTAAACCAGCTATATATAATTATTTATATTATTTTATTTCTTTTAGTTCTTCCTATCTCTATCTTCTAAGTCCTATATCTTCTTATTAACCTTCATGAGTGATTTCAATTAACAGCAGAGAAAAAAATAGTTTTTATTAATATTTAAATTAGTATTACTTTGAAATAAATTATTTTCAGCTTATAATTAACACTAAAAATATCATTTTAATTGTTCTCAAAACTGAAAACTAATTATTTGAATTTAATCATAAAACGGATATCAACAGAAACATGAATAAAAAAGTTTCTCTAAGATATTCATCTAAACAAAAATGCCTAAAGCAGATTTCATTTTTTTTTAATTATAATTTTTTTGTAGAAAGATAAAATAGATTTTTAAATTAAAAAAACCTTAAGTAGAATTTATGTTTTAAGAATAAATATTCTATAATATAAATAAAACTGCAGCAATTTACAATATAACTAAATAATCATAGTTTTATTTGCCCAAAAAATGCACTTAATGTCTTCCCGGGAATTTTTTTTTCCGACGTTATAAGAAGAAATACGTTAATGACAGACTGTCGTAAGATTTTCTCACATCTCAAGCTAATGCATAGTCATTAAAGTGGTGATAGGCACTAAAGAAAGTAATTTTAGGAAAATAAAACTACGAAAAAGTACCACACTAGGGTACCTAAGTACGGAATTCTTAAAAATTTTATGCGACTAAAAGAGAAATGCACTAAAAACTTTTGATTAAAAAAGTATAAGGTTTTTTACTAGATATAGTAAATATTTTATGAAGTAACTCATTAGTGAAAAGAATTGGTTTTATGCAATATTCAGTAGCAAATACTATAAAAATTTTGCATTTTAAAACGAAATACAAATCATTATTTTAGGTTTTCATAATCATGCATTGTTGTTATTCAAACTGAAAGTTTTAAAAAATTACTTCATAAAAAGAATCGCTGGGTCATTTCGCAGAACTTGTCACTAACAAGGGACATTGCACAGCTAAGTGTTCTAAATTTTCTATGATAATAAGAGTCAGAAAGTTTTCAATTATTCATAATAAATTCGATACTCAGCTAAATGACTCTTATACACTTTTTAATTAAGCCGACAGTTTTTCTTTTAAGAATAAATAAAGGTTTGCTACATATGTGCTAAGTCAAATATTGAAGAATAATTGCATTATAAAACAAGTGGATCTATTATTTTTAAATTAATTTTATAAAAGTAAGACAAAAAATGGATACAAATTGAGTCAATAGAAAGCAAAATATACACATTTTATATGCCTGTAGAAATATTTTTCCGAATTTCTGCAGTCCGAAACAAAAATCAATCACAATTGCATAGCGTATTTAAGAAGTTAATGCAGTTATGATAAACATTACTCAATTGCTAAGATTTTTTTTAAAAATTATTTGCACCTGCATAAAACATTTAAAATTTCTACAGATACAGGGTAAAAATTAAATAAAAAGAAAAATCGCAGAAAATCAATATTTATGGGGAAAGAAAGTTAACATGCTTAGTAGTCACTACCTTTAATAGATATTTTTAGAATCATTGTCAAAAAAAATATGCACAGTGGGGATTCACAATTTAATATCGAGAAATAATATTAGAAGAAAGGCAAACCCTATCGATATCTGGCGAATAACTATAGAAGAAATCAAAATGAAAAATCAAAAACCAGTTTGATTGCTCGATATAATTTGGGGATGCTTCTAAACGTTCCTTTTTGAATACTTCTCTCTATTTCGATAGGTAATCAAACATTTTTTGGTGATTTCAAAACCACAGTAGTTATTACTCAGTTTTCAATACCGTTTTAATTCCTTTGTTCGTCTAAATATTAATTTGCGATCTTTAATGCGCATCTTCTTTAATTGAAAGTAACTAAAAATAGACATTAAGAGCAGGTATTTTGGTACATTAGTCAGAATTAGATTGAAATTGGATCGTTTAGATAGACAAATTTCTCATTTAATGCTCGAAATTGAGGAATAAATTGTCTATTTTTGAACAGAAATATTCGTAAGTTTCTGAGAAACATTTTAACTTCTCAGAAATAGTTTCATGCTGTTTTTTTTAAACACCACAGAAATTAAATGGTTTATGGTTTAAAAAATATCAAATATTCAATACAAATTTATGAGATAGACATTCAAAGTAACAAATATAAACTTGTTTCAAAATCTCAAAGCCGTTTGCGTCTCGGTATTGCTTTCTAGCGTTTTCCTTAAACTAAAGAAAAATTTACTGTAAGAGAGTTTTTAAAATTCTTATGCAGGTATTATTAAAGTATAACACTACAATTTACAGCATATCAAATAAAGTAAAAGTAGGACAAATAGATATTATATGCGATAAATCTTTTTCAAAAAAACTGTACATTAATAATGTTTTTTTTTTAAACTTAAAAATAAATTTTTACAAACAGACGAAAAAAAACTCCTAAAATATACTATTTTCAAGCCATCATTTTCACTTAGTTTAAGCATACGTTTAAGATGAAGGAATAGTTAAGCTACATCACGCCAAAAGTGAAAAAAAAGCAATTTAAGTAGCAGGAAATAGGGCAATTCCATGATACAAATGACAACATAAAAGAATGAACATTTAATAGCAATTTAGTTACTTATTTTTTTTATTAGTTATTTCAGAAATAAGATTGAAAATTGAAGTTTTTAGTTTTGAAATAATAGTAACAAAAGTTTATTAAAATTTTAATATAGCGTGTATTTGTAACCTCAGTTACATACAAAATTATTCTCAAGAGCTATTTCTGTACTTTTCATTTCTCAATTCATGTGTATTTCCAATGCTTCCTGATAATTTAAAGCTTGCTTTTAAATAAAATTTCAAAACTAATCACATTATTTCTTATAGGAAGAGAAATTCAAATTAAGAATATGCTTTACACCATGTCCTTTCTGTGAAACGTCAGTTACATTTTTATTCTAAACAGAATATTTTCAAATTTTCATACCTTTTGCGATATGCATAATAATATTAGGTTATTATAAAACATTCCACATATTCTTTTTAAATATATACACATACATATAGGATGTTTTTTCACTTTCATTTAAAAAAATTAAACATTGGTTTTTTAAAAAAATATTAAGCATTTATCAATGAAAAAAGCTTTAAATACGAAAGACTATCAAAATATAACGTCACCACGGAATCGCCCAATATATAAATTAGTCATAGTTCTAAAATATTTGACATCACGAATTTATCTAACCAAATTATTTAATAATGAGATTAAGAAAAAGCAAAAATTATGTTTACACCATTCAGAAATATACTCTACATAGTGTTTTAACAAAAGAATAGTGATTTTTAGATCATTACAAGACAAACATCACTAAAATTAGTTTTAAAGCAAACATTTAAAACAAAAGGGTTAAGTATAAAAATGACTAAATGAGATTCTATTTATTAAGTTTACAACCTCATATAGGAAGCATTGGGTATCAACTTTAACCATAGAATTTCAAAAAAGAAGAGAAAAAGAAGAAGCGTGAAAATATTTTTAATTTTTTTTCTTCCTTTCGGTTAGTCTTAAGAAATGTTTTATTTTTTTAAGAAAGAATATAACTAAAAATCACTCAAGAAGAAATTCTGAACAGTTAATTGACACTTAACAAAAAAATTTTACCTCCAAAATAGAGCATCTACTATAGATGACTATGCACAAAATACTTTTGAAAATCAAAGTCCGTAATTCACGTAATTCATTATTTTAAAGTCACTTTCCTCTGAAAGCCTTGATTTTTGTGTTTTTCTCCCACAAAAACAGGACTTTATTTCCACATGTAAAGGCAGAATCTAGGCAGAAAATAACCCGACACTATGGAGGTTTCAAATTCAGAAAATTTTGTTTTTCATACAATTACAAAAACAAAAACCTATTTTTTCAAATTCACAAAAATATAAGTAAATGCCTTAAATAAAAAACCTTTACTGACATTTAAAAAAATCTGTAATAATCCCTGATAACATTAAAACTCATTATAATTTAAAAACGTCTATATTTTACGCCTAAGGTTAATGAGTTTTTTTAGAGGTCTTTTTTAATTTTTTTGGACATAAGTTTTCTACCCAATTATTTAAGTTAAAATATTTATACTTTATAGATATCTTGCACTTTAAATGAAAATTTATGAATTTAGGGTAAAAATGAGTATTCTTTAGACAAGCAAGACTGACACAAATAAATTAAATTATACAAACAAAGTTATATAAGCAAATCTGCATATCATTATACTTTTTAGTAAAACAATTTAAAAATGAAAAGAGAAAAATTTACATCAAAGTAAAACATGGACTTCTCTAGTTTGATGAATATTATAATGAAAATTGCTTACTTTTTATTCGGAATAAATTAAGGATCCAAATAAGAAAGAAAGCAGAAAATTAAATAAAATGAAATATTGATATGTCACACATTTGCGTGACTTTTCGAAAGTCATGAAAAATACACAGTTGGATAAAATCAGATTATCAAATAAATGAAATATGCCGCGATACATACTATTTCCAAAACACAAAAGTAATATTTATTCAAAGTTTCAAAACTCACATTTGTATTTTAATAAAGAGTTTAAATTAAATTCAATAGAAATTAATAAAACCATTTTCGTAACACCCAAAATCAGTTTATGTAAAAGAATAAAATATTTTGATGAAATATTGAAGCTACCTATTTTTTTAAAAAAAAATAGACATAATTATTGAATTTTTTTAAGCATAATTAAGACTGTTGTTCCTAGATAAAAACTAATCCTAAATTCACATTGTTTATAAAACCATATGACGCAAAAATGCCCCAAACTTATGCTAAAATTGGATTTTATTTCTTGGTACAATTTAAAAATTGAGGAAGTAAAATTATTATCAAATCAAATTGTTTTCCGGTGTGTATTTCTAAATAAAGGAAATTACATTATTTTGAAGGGGGAAATCAAATCAAAGGCGTAGTCTCAGAATGATTCTCTAATTTCAGAATTAAAAAATTGATACAAATTAGTATAATATATCAAAATAAAAAATGGGAATTTTGTAAATCGAAAGCTAAATCAGCGTATTTCTTAAAGAAACTGTGAAAATAGAATATGTCTTTATGTTTATTTTTCGGAACAACAGCTTAAGAGTTTTATAATTTATATTTATAACTTATAAAACAAATTCATGAACACTGATGCAGCATTTAAGCAGGAAACAAAAGGAAAGTGAATAATTTAAAAAACACTTATTTAAATACAAAAACAATTATAAGCATTTGGCAATAACACAATATTTTATAATTAAAAAATACGGTATATAGAGCAGTCCACTGAATTTTGAAGTGATTTGCGTAGCACTTCATTTGTCCTACTTTGTAATAATTTATTTAAGTATGAAATCCAGATGATAAAAACTAGAAAAATTGTTTCTGTATGTAATCGTTGCACTAAAATTGAGAAAAATTTCACTGATAATATTTGCGTGTAGTCTTATCAGGGGTGACACATTTTATTTGCAACTGTTTATCTTGTGCACGCTATTCTTCAATAGAAAAACCATTTAGTTGGTTTGTGTAGAACACAGTTTAAAAATCATCCAGTTTTGAAAACTAGTATGTTCATAAAGAAAATTAATTCAAAATTTACACTTTTAAAGTTTAAGCTGTTCGATTGCGAGAAAACATTATTTTACTATTAAATGATGAACAAAAATAAATAAAAACTTCATGCGCAAACTAATTACGCAATATTTCTTATTGACGCCATCTTTGTTCATCAACAAATATTCTCGCTGGTTTTAAACGAAGAAATTTCGTAACGAAATAAACATCTAATGTGAGACTGGAATTGAAATGCAATTGTAAATCAGATCAATTTGAAGTTTCATAAGCGACTATGAAAAAAATCCTAATCTATTTAATGTCCGGGTCGTTCGTTTTATAGCTTCATCTTTATACCTCCATATGGTGGTGTCTTTTAGGGTATAAATACGAAAGTCTGTTTTGCAACTATTTTGCAACGAACCCACGCAATCTTTGCGGTAGTGCTGTAGTTGGGCTAAGCTTGTGTTAACAGAAAATGTAGTGCAGGTCCCTAAGCAATTTAGGGGGAAATGATTGTGTAGGGATACTACCCTTTCGGTGTTGTGAAAACATTTCACATAGGAACCAGGTTTTGTGAAATTTTTACTCCGATACACGTGCTGAAACATATGAAGAAATCTTGGAATGCCTTGTTCGTGAGCTTCGTGGTGCAAATCGTCGCCATCTTGAAGGTCATCCAAAAAGTAGACATTACGCACATTGTAGCTGGCTCTGGTGTAATTTTTTTCTTTCAACGCTTGCCGAACAACTTCTTTCATAAGATCAGACCAATTTTCATACTTAACAGGCATAATTATTTCATCAATATCCAGAAGAACAACATATTCATAAGAATAAAGATTCCTATAGAGGCAATCATTGTAAGGAATTAGTTCGTTTTGCCGTTTATGAGTTAGTTTCGATTTGAGATACAAATGTCTGAAACCTGGCAAATTAGGTTGGTTGCCAGGTAGTGTTATAGGCGTGAGTTGTACCAGTCCTTCTTTTTGGTAATAATTGAGAACTTTTGAGATGTTCGGGTGAACTTCGAGCTCATACAGGAATATTTTCTTCGCCCCAAGAATATTCAACATTTCCATCCATTCTACAAGTCTGACGCTGAGATCTTCGTGCAAAAAATCTAACCCCTTAACACACACTGCAAAGTCTTCCTTTTTTGCAGGTCTGTCATACCGAACTCTTAAATTCGTGGTAGGTTTATCGCAGCGTTTTTCAACTAAGGATACACTTGTCGGTACCTGTCCTCCAGATTCTTTGGTGGGCACTTTGCAAGATATCACATATGGTTGAAGTATGCCATTTTTGTAGTTCCCCCACTTACTATACCACGCATACGTGTAAGTAGCAGGCGTAAAAATGACAGTTTTCTTCTTATCAAACCAAAGCTGACAAATTGTTGGCAAAGGTTTAATACGATCGACCATGCCAAGTATTCTTATTAAAGGCGTGCTTCCTGCTCTCCATCTGTTATCATAATATGCACCATAAAGATAAAACGTTCCATTTGAAGTTTGAAGTCGTTGCCAATATATATTGTTGAAATCTAATTCATAAAGACTAGGAAATTTCACACAGGATTTGCTTCCAATTGGGCGGAGCTTGTTCGCTGACCAATAAGCAAGCGGAAGGTTGGAATGATTAGCGAGTAAAGTCAGAAGCTGTTTTTCATTTAATGCAGGACTGTTATCAACTTGAGGTTCTAAATCTAAGAAATTTTGAGGAATACCCGGCGTTCTACTTCCTGATGGATTATCTTGTATTCCTGGTGGAGATGTGGTGGGGCTGTTGTCAACATTGCCATTGGCAGCTGCTGCTGCGATAGCTTGCATTGACTGTACATTCTGCAGAAGACCCCTGTTCACGCGAGCTGTAAGGTATGTGACAGCTCCATTGTGATTCGTAATACGGAACACCAGGTAGCACAAACATGTCCAAATGCAAATGCCGTACAGAATTTTCTTGAAAGCTCTAGCTGGAACGATACGAAAGGTTGTCCACCCCATCTCTGCTACTGTATGATCTAAAAAGAAAAAAAAAAGCAATTTAATAAATCTATATTAAATTACTGCATCTCATTTTTTACTCAATTAATGAAAAAACATGTTATAAAGAAATGAAGTTATGAATTTTCAATGACAGTTTAAGCATCATGTTTTTCAATTAATAAAGAATATCAGATAAAGAAAAATTGAAGAACTAGAATTACAAACATTGATTGAAAAATTTTGATAACAATGAATAGTGGTAGCTCAATGTGGCTTTCATGCGCTCAAATATTTTGTTAAATAATACAGTTATTTGAAACTTCGATGAACTTAAATTACATCTACAATTTATTTAATATTTTCCAGTTTTATAAAAAAGTGAAACTTCATCTGTAAATAATGATTTGCTGTAAAATTGTAATAATATTAGAAATAGGATTATATTAAAGAGGCTTTGATACAGAGTTGCACAATGCAAGTACACTTGGTTGAGAACAGTGGTTTCCAACTGACGGCCCGTGAAGCCTTTTTTTGTGGCCCGCGAACTAAAATATATTAGTTGTCATTTTTTTGCGGACAATTTTCGTAAAAAAATCTATATGGGTTTAAAATACTCTTCTCGTTAATAAAAACCTAATTTCGTCGTTTCTGAGAAATTTATCATACCAACGGTGCAGAAAAAAAATTATTTCTCAGGTTTTGTTTCCAAGAAAATATTTATTCAAATACAAAAATAATCGCGTTTGTTGCTCTTCTTTATTTCATTTTTTTGTATTTTGTGAATATAAGTTAGCATGTGTGTATCAGAAATTTTCTCGACGAAATTCTCCGATTTAACTTTATGAAACCACTCATTTTGGACGAAAATATTTACACACACATTTGTAAATTTTAAATTTTAAATGTAAATATCCATTCTCTGGTGGTTGCAACAGACAAACCTCAATTTTGTCATTGAACATTTTGTGCGCTACTATGTAAGTTTTAACACCAACCTTTTTAAAGTTATATCATTAGATATTTGTTGCACATTCAGCGTGCACATAAAAATTAGTGTAGCCCGAATTTTTTAATACGCAATTAAATATTTTTAAAAATCTACTTCTTATTTTAATTTGCAATTCAATACAATTGTACAACTTGGTAAAAATCTGACAGTAATATTTAATGTTTCTTCAAACATAAAAGAGTCCTACATAAAATTTTGATAAATAAAATAGTGTAACTTCCTTATCTTTTTTTGATAGAACGAGTTTTAGATATAATCCCGTCTGGCATGGATCGTTAACCTTGAAGTTCAATTACTGTAATAGTTGAATCTAAAATTGAGTAAACAGTATAATTTTCCCAAACTATATAATAACTATTTCAAACTACGACGCACACTTTATTTATATTTAAATTCAAACGAAAACAGACTTGGAAAAAAATGATAGCTTAGTTAGTAATATTAACTCAATTTTATAAGCTTCCGCATTAAAAAAATGCAATAAAAATAATTACTAAATTTAATGGTTTTGCATTTTAAGTCAATATCAAAGATAAATAAGAATTTCCTTCCTTATCAATAAATTAGCTCCAAGAATTACGAAGTAACTTTTTTAAAAAAAATGTCTAGTTAAAACATTTTTTTTTCTATATACATTTCATTTATGCTCCGTTCATAAGTTTAAGTAATTACTTTTAGAATGAAAATAAATTTTTCCCATGTTTTTTTGAAAAATTGAGGAAGCTTATTTATTTGTTAACTTTAAATAAACATCTAGGATTTTAACCAGTTCACACTCTTCCGTTAATGCACTTTAATAATGCAGTGTAAAATAGATGAACGACATATGTTACACGGATTTTTTTATTCACATATTTTGTTTACTTATTTACTTTTGTTTACTTGCTTTCTTTAATTGCATTTTTAAATATTTTTTCCATTTAATTATTTCCCATTTTTTTACCATTTAATGACGTTTGACATTGTTTTTAATTTTTTTCAATGTTTAAAAATACTGCACAATTTGACTCGCTAAATTTGTAATTTGACGAAAGGAAGTAAAAGATGGCTATTCAATGTCAAATTTTTGAATTATTCTAATAATTATAATCAGAACTGTATTACGTGCAAATTTTCAAAAGCCGGCATAAAGCGTGCCATTTGGAAACGTTCCTTTCTCCTGTTTTTATAATCGAAAACCACTTGCATGCGAGTCATGCTTCTCATTTCGAGTAGAAGGTATAATAAACAAGTATCTTAAATCCTATGGCGATACAATGTCTTCCTGTGCCTAAAACTATAGTTTTCAAAACGTTCCAGAACACTTTTACAAAAGGGCCGTGAAACCAATTTCTATCTACTCTCAAAGAATAAGAAGCTCAATAGGAAGCTAATAAACGTAACGACAATTATATATAATACATAATTTAAGCCATTTTTATATCTCAACAGCGTATAATCGTTATATGTTGATTCTACAGATCTTTAAAAAAAATTTTAAAATAAAACTTACAATAAATCAGATAAAATCAAGTGACAGATGTTTTAATATAATTTGATAGCTCATCCTGAAAGCTCAAGAAAGTAAATCACAAATTTTTTTTTAACCTAATTTCACGTTTCCAGAAGAAAAAAGATCCAAATTCATTCATTTAATTTCTTATTTATATTTCCCACTGATATTCCATTCATAACTTTTTCCAGCAAAAATATTAAAGTTAAAGAAATCTAGGATACAGTTCAATTGTTCCCTTATTTATAACAAAAAAACAAAACTTCCAATCATTCATTATCCTTTAACAATAGAAATAGTCATTCAAAATTTACTTACGCTTCGGTTATGCATTTACAGGGAGAAAAAGAAGAAAAAAACCATCACATGAGATGGAGACCGACGAAGTTAAAATATTCGTATACATTTTGTATTTGACTTTTTAAATCTTAAACTAGGTTACAATGCCATAAAGAATAGTTGGAGGAAATGAAAATAAAATTAAATTCCTACAATTTATAAAAGCAAAGTACTTTTAAGTTAAAAAAAATAATATAACAACGCAAACCAAACACACATTAAAGATCATATTTCAAATTGTATTTTTAAACTTTGCTAATGTGTTTAGTGATATTTATGAGGATAAAATAATGATTATACTTGTACTTATTTTGATGAAAAAAAAGATAAAAAAACAAAAAATATAAAATATTTAATCATCTGATTTCCAATGTTATGTTCTCAATCTAACCAAAACATTTGTCACTCTTCTTGTTACCCTCCTTCTCCCTGCCCATATCATTTGTTAACAGTCTCTGACGTTAAAAATAAGGTGATATAATATATCGATATCGCGATTACGATACATCACTGATACCTTTTTTTTTAAAAGTACTAAATAAATTGAGTGTTTTACGAATACTTTGATTAAGTTGTACCTATTTTTTTTTTCTTTTATCAGAAAATTTTTTTTTCAATCGCAATTTGTCCGTCTGACTATTGAAGAAGATAATTTGTATGCACGAGTCAAATAATGCACCCTTTTTGTTGTAGTTCATTTACGTCACACTAGAGCTACACAATGGGCTATTGGCGACGGTCGGGGAAACATCCCTGAGAATGATCTGAAGACATGCCATCACAATTTTGATCCTCTGCAGAGGGGATGGCACCCTCGTTTCGGTAGCCCAACGAACTGCGCACGAAGTCGAGCACTTTGCGGTAGATCAGTTTAACGAGGACCAATACCGCACAACCTCGGTCCCTACGCAGACTGATCCAAGTGGTCACCCACTCGCGCACTGACCGCAGCCAGTGATGCTTGACTTCGGTGATCTGCTGGGAACCGTTTCTTAATGTTCAGTTTGTGGGAGTAATGCACCATTTTCTAACAGTCATTTGAAATTTAAAAGATATACACTACCGTTGATTAATTTAGAAAAAGGCTACTGCAATTTGTTTTATGGTTTATTAATTTTTGATTGTAAACTAAATGGAAGTAGTTTGAATTGACAAAACTCGCTTTTGCACATTAAGATTTCATTCATTGTTTGAGAAGTAGCTAAAGGATTAAGAAAAATTATTAAAAGTTATAAAAAGGTATTGTTTTTCGGTAAAATATTTTTTACTCTTAAAGTTATTCATCTTGATTTTCATCATTTTAAATTCAAGCTAAAGTATTTCAAAATTGTTAACCAATAAGTAAGTTATATAAATTTTACTAAAAGCCTTGTGTGCAATCGTGTCCAGTCAGTCAACATATGCCCTTGAAATAACCTGAACAAAATTGAAAAACCTTATTAGAAAATAACTTTTTGGTACTAGTACTAAATAATTTAGCAAAAAAATTTAGCAAGTTTTTGTAACTACAAAAATAGAAATTTAAAAGGGATACGTGAAATTAAAGTTGCAATGGTAACCAAGAAATAAAGTTTTAATTTTAAATGCCAATTTAAAAAAGTGATCACTGAGAAAAATGATTGATGTTCACAATTAAATCTTTATGGAATTAAGAAAAAAATTTTAGAAGCATGAGCAACAGCAAAATGAATTCTTTTCACTGAATTCATTTTAAGTCAATGATATCCACTTTTGAAGGAAATAAAAAATTGTCATATGCCAGAAAACAAAAATTATATCAAAGTAATTAAGAGGGGTGGTGAGGTGTAGCGAACAGGTGGCTCTGCTCCCTAATACGCTTTATTGGTTTGCTTATAACTTATTAAGAATAAAACTTACATTTTAAAAGAAAAATTTCTCTTCGAAATATAAACTGCCAAATTAAGAAAAGGCAACAAAAAAAGAAGACTGGCAATGTAAGAAAAGAATTCTTAAGAGGATTTAAGGGTTGATAGTGCGAAATCTTTCTATGCAAATTAAGCTGATTTAAGACAGTTGATACTACGAAATATCACATTCCCAAATCAACAACAGTACATTACAAGATAAGGAAGAATTTACATTTGATCCACGGTCTCTCGGGAATTCTCGGTAGAATCTAGAAATTCCAAGGGTGAAAAACGTAGTACTCTGATGTTTCATTAGATAGAAAAGAT